ACAATTACTGTTATGTCTGTTTGTATCTCTTTGTTGATGTATGATATGCCATGAGCACATATGATTATATTTGGGAACATTGTTTTGGGTTGTGGACTCATAGACGTTTATTTGTAATTTAAACACTGATTATAGGAATGACTGAAGGTAAAAGAAGAAGGGGATGGCAAAGGATAAGTATTATTGATGCAATGAACATGAAATTGAGCAAACTCTGGAGGACGGCGGAAGACAGGAGGGCCTGGCGTGATGTGGTCCATGGGGTCGCAAAGAGTCAAACGACTGTGCGACTGAACAACAACAACAACAACAGATGGAACACTACATCTGGGGCAGTGATGCTCTGTATTCTTGGTGCCTGGGGGGGCAGCAGTGGGAGGGCTTTTGGAGTTCTGGCACCACTGGTGGACCTCCTAATAGCACCACAGTTTTGTCCACTGTGTGACACAGAATGTTGGACTGGATGGTCCACTGGCCTGATCCAACATAGCTTCTCTCGTGTTCTTAAGGCCACCAAATTTAATCTCTGAGAGGGGGGAAAAACCCTAGAATTCTGCATGGAGCACACCTAAGCCCTCTAGTAGGCATGGGTATTTGTATTCTAGAATCAGAGGTGCAAATTACTATAATTGATAATATACCATAAATTGAATAGAATATTAATAGCTGCATTTGATTATTGTTTTTGAGGCATCCTTGGAGCCTACAGCAATCCCATAAATCAGCCCCCAGTATTACTCCTCGTATTGCAGAGGGCAGTTGAAGCAAACAGAACACAGGCTTCCTTAATGCCGTCTGAGTGCTGGCGAGCAGCAGGAGATACAGGGAGGAGGGCATGCAGATAGGCATCGTTCTGATGCCACCTCATCACTTCCAGTGTGACCACAGACGTGACATCATTGTATCAGCACAATGGTGTAGGATTCCCCCCAAACACTATGGTTTTACCATAGACCAAGTGGTTAAGACGCTGAACTGCAGGCTGTGGAAGGTCGGTAGTTCAGCAGTCCGATACCCGAGTGTGCCGCATGACGGAGTGAACTCCCGTCTCTAGTTCCAGCTCCTGCCAACCTAGCAGTTCGAAAGCAAAAATTGCAAGTAGATAAATAGGTACCACTTCGGTGGGAAGGTAACAGCGTTCCGTGCGCCTTGGTGTTTAGTCATGCCGGCCACATGACCACAGAAACGTCTTCGGACAGCGCTGGCTCTTCGGCTTTGAAACGGAGATGAGCACTGCAACCCTAGAGTCAGACTCGACTGGCTTTCGAGCAAGGGAACCTTTACCGTTACTATTGGGGGGAATCCTGGCATGTAACCCTGACTAAATGATGTCACTTTCGGGGGTGCATCGAAAATGATGTTATGGTGTTGGAATGACAGTTTACTCCCTCCAGTAATTTCCCCCCTGCTGCTCTACCGAGTGTCCGTGACCAACCCACAGTACACTCTCACTTGCAGAGGTTGCTTCTCAAGCACAACTCCCTCCAATGGGTGTCAGTGTCAGAAGGAGTTCCACAACACAATGTACATGGTGCAAAAGATCCAGCTTTATTAGTATTTTTGAGATGAATTTCCTTGGGGAAAACACCGAAGAGTCAACAATCCTCACTTAAGATTATGGTGTTGGGCAGGTTTTTTTTTTTTTTTTTGCTGCTGCTTGTTACCTTCACGAGGGAGAGGGGTTCATTGTCCTACTCCGTAATCATGCAGCAACATGTCTAATCCATTCTAAAATAAAACTCAGTTCCTTGGCGCGGCCAAATGGCTCCTGCTTGGGATTGATTTCTGGGTGCAGATGGTCTCCTCGGGGCTCGTGGATCTTTCAGGCAGGCCGGTGTTGGCTTCTCCTCCTCTCCCTTCTCCCTGGTCTTCCTGCAGGCCTGCAACTTGTTGCAGAGAGAAGAGGGAGGGATGTTCCTTTAGCCGGCCACTGGCTGCGGTGTTCCTGAAAGAGGCTGGGGGAAAGCAGGAACACCTTCTGCTGCATCCAGGGTCTTGGGGCCCGTGCCGGAGGGGCCAGCATGCACATCATTCAGGGCGGAGGGCTTGGCCAGCCTGTAGAAGATCTCCTCATCCGAGTAGCGCCTTCTTGGCTTGGCTGTTTTCTCCGCAGGGACACCTTTTCGCTTGGCGTGTCTCTTGTCCATGGCCTTGACAGTGGCTTTCAGAAAATCCGGAAAAATATGGCTGCATTGCTGCTTCTGCCCACCCGCCTGCATGGTCATCCGACGATAGGCTGCGGCCCAAAAGGAGCCCGATGGGTACTTAGCCATGCGGAAGGAGAGGACATTGTCCTGCATCTGCTTGTTGAAACACCAGGACATGAGTGGGCAGCTCTGGAGATGGCAGCTCTTGGGAAGCCTAATGAGGCAAATGCTCCTCCTCGATCCAGAAGGAAGCTTGCTTTGCTTGGCCAGGTTCTTCTGGGGCCTAGTTTGCCTCCTCATCCTCCTCTTCTTCTGAACGTTGGCCTTCTGGTCTTTTGAGATGGCGCCCATGGCCTCGCTCTTTTTCCTCCTCTTCAGTTCAGCTGCCCTACTGGAAATGAAAGTGATCTTACGCTCACCGAGCATATATGGTGGTATCTATGCAAATGAGGGGCTTGCTCAAAGAGCTGGGATTGGCTGGCAGAAACAATAGTCCAGGTGGGTACCTAACAATGCTCAACTGTGAGAGTTCAGAATTATGCACACTGATGATGTTAAAAAAATATATATTAGGTAAACTTCAGCCTGAGTTGAGGCCCCTTGGTTTCAATGGGAAAAACTAAGTGTGTGTTCAGGACCATCTTCTCCTTGAAAACAATGAAGCCTGAAAGAGATTGTCTTTGGCTGGATTGTGCCCTCACTTTGATGGCTGGCCTGATTTTTGTATCTGTGTGCAATACAACATACTTCCAAATTATAATGTGAAGTCTTTCATTATATTTTGTATGCAATCTTTCCCCCAAGAAGCTCAGGAGAGCATATCTCTCCCTTTTTTATCCTTACAACGACTAGGGCCGCCGGCTCTGTGTCGGGAAACAGGTTGAGATTTGGGGGGTGGAGCCAGGGGAGGGTGGGGTTTTGGGAGGGGAGAGACCTCAGCAGGGTACAGAATGCCATCCACCCTCAAAAGTAGCCAGTTTGTCTAGAAGAACTTCTTTCTTTCATCTGGAGATCAGTTGTAATTCCAGGAGATTTCCAGGCCCCACTTGGAAGCTGGCAAAGCCTCACAACGACCCTGTGAGGTAAGTTGGGCTCAGAACCGTTCAAGGCCACCCAGTGACTTTCATGGCAGGGATTCTGACCCCCTCCCCCCTTTAGGGCCTAAATATACATTAAACTGATGCTGGCTCTTCCCCTTACTCTGATCGAGCCGGCATGGCCGGAAAGTTCCATCATCAGGACTTGAGTTTCCAGGTTTGTGAGGACCCATTGCAGATGAGGGGGCCGCAGTGGACCCTGAACTGCAGACTGGAAGGTCTGTAGCTCAGCAGTTCGAGACCATAGTGCCGCGTGACGGAGTGAGCTCCCATCTCTGGCCCCAGCTCCCGCCAACCTAGCAGTTTGAAAGCAAGAAACTGCATGTAGATAAATAGGTACTGCTTCGGTGGGAAGGTAACAGCATTCTGTGCATCTCGGCGTTTACTCATGCCAGCCACATGACCACGGAAAGGTCTTTGGACAGCGCCGGCTCTTCAGCTTGGAAACGGAGATGAGCACTGCCCCCTAGAGTCGGATTCAACTGGCAAGGGAAACCTTTACCTTTACCAATTCAGATGAAGAAAGAACTTTGGGTGCTTTGGGTTCTCAAACTTTCCAAGCCCATTAACTTCAGGGGACATAGAAGGGCATAACTCTGTTTAGAATGGCACTGGCAGTGTCATTTGACACAGTGACTGAATTTCTAGACCATTGTTGAAACTTTATACAGCCCTAGACAACCCAGGTTGGGGGAAAGCATTGATTCAAAAGCTAAAGTCCCGTGGAAATGTTAGACATTTTATCTAAATAGAAGAAACAAAGAAAGCAATACAACAACCTCAAGAACAGAGATGGGTTTATAGACAAAATATTACTTCATTGATCTGATTTCCCTGTTTTCTGGGCTTTTCTTTTTTTAAAAAAATAGGGTGAATCTTACATTCCGTGTCATTGTAAAAACCAATAAATACCACTTAAAGGCACAAACCAGCTGAAGTTACAAATAATTACAATTCTTAAAGAAAATGCTTGATAAGTATGCATGTGTTTGTTAAGTGCTGTCAAGTTGTTTCCAACTTATGGAGACCCAACTTATGGAGAACAAAGTTTGAGTCCAGAGTCCAGTGGCACCTTTAAGACATGAAAACATATACCTTGTTGGTCTCAAAGGTGCCACTGGACTCAAACTTGGTTCTGCTGCTTCAGACCAACATGGCTACCCACCTGGATCTTTTTGTCGCTATGGATTAATGTCCTCCAAGATGTTCTATCCTTAACAGCCCTTGCTCAGGCTTTGCAAACTGAGGGCCCTCCTGGCTTCCTTGACTGAATCTCGGTCCACTTCATGCTGGATCTTCCTCTTTTCCTGCTGCCTTCAACTCTTCCTAGCAGGATTGTCTTTGCCAGGGACTCCTCTTCTCATCACGTAACCAAAGCTTGATCCATGCCCAAGCAGTATTTCTGATTGACTGGTTCAATCAGAAATTTTCAAGGCAAAATAATACATACCACATCTCCTGTTTTTTCCCAGAACTGAAGTTAAATAAATATTCTTCAATGTACCTGCCCTTTATCAAACACAGAGTTTCTCTTTTTAAATCATCTTACATGAAAGTCTTCAGAACTCCAGAAATCTCAATGGGCAATACACATTATTGACACAACAGGGCCTCGGGAACACACCGAGGCAGGGTGGACGGATGCGGATTATGAGCTTGGAACGCTCCTGGGACTTCTGAACCGAGTCCCGGCCAGAGCCAGACGGAGAGCTCCCGCCCGGGGTTCCAAGGAAGCGGTTCCGGAGCCGCTGCTTACCTGGGTTGGGGTGAGTACTTGGCCGAGTTCCTCGATCTCCACAGCCCCATAGAGCACTCGCAAGGGATGCGCCGGCTTCTCCTCCACCTCGCTCAGGCACAGCGGCCCGTCCCACTCGCTCAGGCACAGCGGCATCTTCGGGGCAGCGACCAGAACACAAAGCGCAAAGGCAGCGCGGACGCTGAGCGGGACCCACGGCTTCTTCCTCCGCGGCCAAGGCGATCCCGCCCCGAAAGCTTTAGCCGGCCTCCTGCTCCTTGAAGGCTCCCACTGGAGGCCCGGAAGGGGGAAGAGCCGGCGAAGCGAGGAGCCTGGAGCCAACGCCCTCGCCCCGCCCCCCCCCCCGGTCCCGTTTTTGCCGGCCCTGAAATGACTGCGGGGAGAAAACACGCCAGCACCAGTGTTCCCTCTAAGCTGAGTTAGTGTGAGCTTAGCTAGCTCACCGTTTTTTAGACTCCGGCTCACACATTTCTGTCTTGGCTCAGGAAGGAGGGCTCCAGAGCAAACTATGCAGTAGCCAAATCCCTCGCTCACAACTTTAATGCTGGTAGCTCATAAAAGTAGAATCTTTGCTCACAAGACTCTAAAATTTAGAGCGAGCATTAGGCAGCACTTCGGTCTCAGCCGCGACTGGACTTCGAGGCTGTGTGATCCTGTGCCTTTTACACGAGAGTAGGCCCCCTTGAACGCGGTGACGTTTACTTCCGAGTAAACTGCTACAATCTTGTGCTAAGGTTGCTTGCAATCGGATACGACTTACTTGATGATGAGGAAGCCTCTTCACTGAACTCGGCTGGGGTTTCCTTTCGAGAGTTCGACGGTTGCAGCCAAAATAAGCAGGAGTTTTGCGGCGCTTAAAGACGAACCCTGTTTGATTTCAGGATACTGTTCTTCCTGGGCTCCGGTCTATCAAAGTTTAAGATGTAGGAAAAAGTTGTTGGTTCCCCAAGGTGCCCTTTAGGCTTGCGCTGTCCAGGCTGCATCCTGTGCACAGTTACTTGGGAGCAAGTCCCCTTGATGCCAGTGGGACTTACTTCTGAGTAAACATGCGTCGGCCTGTTGCCATAACAGGAATGGGGAAAGAACTTTTTATTTCCTTCTGCCAGTCATTGTTATTTTCTATAAACTGGACGTTGTTTTAGATGACTCGCAGCAGCTGTATCTGTGCTTTTATACTACCTCTAATCGTTTGCATGGCGCACTAAAGCTACTACCAGTGGGGAAGAAAAGTTTTGCGCAGTGTCTACAAATATAATCGGTTAGTTCAAAGGAAGATAGTTTTGAAACTAAAGGTTTGTTGAATGGGTATCGACGAACATCTGTACACCGCACAAAGCTTTCCATTCGCTAGCTTGGAGCGGACGTTTCTTTTGCGTTGATCACCGGTGGCCAGCAGGGGGCACTATAAAGCCGCAAGTGTCTAGCCTTCAGAGAAAAAGCTTGCATGGCGCAAACTGGGTTTCCCTTTCTTCAAAAGCTATACTGCGGAAACCTCCATTTCTTTGTAGGGAACCGCCTTCTTCCAATGCATTCGAATAGCCACAGAATAGCAATGGCCAAGTCTCTTCAGGTCAAGATTAAGTTCCCTTCTTGCATATTCACATTACATAGTAGAACAAACACTAGAACAAAGTTTGAGTCCAGCGGCACCTTTAAGACCAACAAAGTTTAATTCAAGGTATGAGCTTTCATGTACACAGACACTTCCTCAGACACATGGAAATGTAGGTTATCAGTCCATACATATAGGCAGAGGGTGAATAGCAAATTAGCATACAACATAATGATGTTTTAACAGATGCAAAGATGCCTATATGTATGGCCTGTTAACTTCCATTTCAGTGTATCTGAGGAAGTGTGAGTGCTTGAATTAAACTTTGTTGGTCTTAAAGGTACCACTGGACTCAAACTTTGTTCTGCTTGCATCAGACCAACACGGCTGCCCACCTAGATCTACATTGCGTAGCGACCAGTTTTCCCTCTAAGCTGAGTTAGTGTGAGCCAGCTCACAGTTTTTTAGCCTCCAGCCCACAGATTTTTGTCTTAGCTCAGGAAGGATGGCTCCAGAGCAAACTAATTGATGCAGTAGCCAAATCCCTCACTCACAACTTTAATGCCGGTAGCTCACAAAGTAGAATCTTTGCTCACAAGATTCCACAGCTTAGCGGGAGTATTGATAGTGGCACCTTTCATTCTCCATACTTTGATAAGCTACTTTGCAAATCTGGGAACTAATTTACCTTCCCAAGTATTTGTATATGTGTGTGAGAGTTGTTTTGCTTTAAGTTTTGTGTTGTTTGATTTTAAATTTTTGCTAGTATAATCCCTGGGCAATTCTAAATCCTTTTGTAAAGCTTTAAAACAATTCCAAGGAAATTCTATATCCAAAATTAGTTTTCTTCCACTGAACCTGTCATGGGAGGTTCAGGAAGCCAAAGCTCTATGAAGTTGAAGATCAACATCACCATGATTTCATTATTACAAATGGTGAGAGTAGCACAGTACCAGGACTTTTTAGAAGCAAAACAAACTCAATAAATCAGAAGCAATGGTCTTAGCTCAGGACAGGCCCTTTTAACTCCTGGTGGCTCTCCAAGATCTCAGGCCAAGAGTTAGTCCCTAACACCTGCTACCAGTGTTCCCTCTAAGCTGAGTTACTGTGAGCTAGCTCACAGTATTTTTAGCCTCCGGCTCCCGCATTGTTGTCTTAGCTCAGGAAGGATGGCTCCAGAGCAAACTAATTTATGCAGTAGCCAAATTGCTGGCTCACAACTTTAATGCCGGAAGCTCACAAACTAGAATCTTTGCTCAGAAGACTCCACAGCTTAGAGGGAGCATTGCCTGCTGCTTGAGATCCTTTAGTACAGGGGTCCCCGACACAGTGCCCGGGGTACCATGGGGCCCGCTGACACCTCTGCTGGAGTCCACCCCATGTTCTTAGGAAGTGGGTGGGCTAGGTGGGCCTTTTGCCCAGCAAGGCTTCTGACTGGCCACTGGAGAGTTGACTGACCAGCTGTGCAGATACTTTAAAAACTTGCTTTGATGGCAGCTGCTCCCACAGCACAAAGATCTCCATTGTATGACTGGAGGTAAGCTGCAGCAGCTGTTTTGTGGAGGGCGCCGCCTCTTGCAGTGGCTGTTTTTGTGGCTGCACCCACCACACTCTGTCAGAATTCCAAAGGTGCTTGCAGGCTCAGAAATTTATTTATTTATTTATTTATTTTTCACATTTATATCCCGCCCTCCCCAGTGGGCTCAGGGTGGCTAACAAGGGCAGGGTAATTAGCCGTGCCATAATTAAAAACATATAAAACATCATAAAAACATCCAAGACTTAAAATAATGGTGCTCAGTCAATTACTGGAGGCCCTTGTTTTAGGACCCTGCACGGAAAACCTGGAAAACCAGGGCTCTGCTACTGACCCTGGCCTAGCCTGGTATCTCTGTGAACAGGTGCCTTCTGTTGAGTTCAATCACTAGTCCAGTTTTAGAAAAGAGCAAGAGTCCAGGAGCACCTTAAAGACTAACAAAATGTGTGGCCAGCAGGAGCTTTCGTGAGTCACTGCTCAGCCTAACTTGGCTACCCATCTTGATCTAGTCCAGTTTTGTCTACTGGGACTGGTAGAATCAATTCCGGGCAGGGGTCGTTTCGTAGAAAAAGAGCTAGGGGGACTCATTAGCATAACTCATTAGCATATGCCACACCCCCTGACATCACTGGAAGTGAGTCATAAGGCCACACACCCCGCCCTCAACGGTCCCGGCCACCGCCGGCCTTGCAGCTCCACTGCCGAGCCCCATGAGGGGCCCGGTGGTGGACCTGCAAGGCCGGCGGGAGTGCAAGGAAGCCCCGCGAAGGCCCTCCCTGGCCCCAGGCAGGCAGGGGTGGGGAGAGGCAGGGAGGAAGCAACTTACCCTCCCTCGTCTCCTGCCTCCTCCTGGCTGAATGAGGGCCGGAAGCGGGCGGCCGGAAGTAGGGGGCGGGGCTTCGTCATGTGCCCCGCCCCCCATACCTCACCCGGGGGAACTGCGTTCCCCTGCGTTCCCCCCCGAAATGACCTCTGATTCCGGGTCTATCCTTTCCCAGCCCAGTTACCTGAGATCCTTAATTCAGGGCAGATGCCAAGGGGTGGACCTGAAGCCTGCCTGCAAAGTTGCTGCTGTGCAGCTGAGCTGTGGCCCCCACCCCTAAACTGAGAGGTCCCCTAAGAGAAGGGAGAGGAACAGAGGAAGAATCTGAGTGTCAGTCTGGAAAAGAGGATTGAGGCAGGGAAGCCAAAGATTCTGAGCCACATTTGGAAAAGAACAGGGAGTGAGAGGTATTGGGAGGGGGGTATGATGCGCAATGGGTAGAGTCAGTTCAGAAGGAACATTCTGACAACAGGAGGTGGCAGGGCTGGAGGAGTGGTTGTCATGGCTTTAGTAAGATAAGATGGCCTGTGCAGCAGAGAAGGGGGCAAAGCCATGGAGGAGGTTGAAGGCCAGATGTGGAATGTCTGTGTGGGTCTTTGCAGCTCCAAGAGCTGTTCCTGAGCTTAGGGAGCTCACTACCACCCTACAATCACTCCCCACATTTTCCATTTGAACCAGGATCCTCTGCTTGCATCAAGACTGGGCAGCCTTGCTTCTTCAGACATAAAGAGAAAATGGTATATTAACACCCACAGGTTGAGCCATGATGGCAAACTGATGAAGGTAAACTGGGTGAAAAAAAGGAAGCATAAGCACATGCCACTGGTCCTTAAATACCTCTTCTGACTAGCTGAATGCTCCCCGCAACTAGAAAATGAGCTGAACAGGGTTGGGCCTGAGCCTGCCTTGGCTGGGAGGGCGGGGATGGGGTCGTTCCCTACCTGCAAGGAGTTTCTGCTCAGAGGAGCATTCAAGAATGGGGTCACCTACCTACAGTCTAGTCTACTGCCTTATTCTTTCTGTATGTGCCAACTAAGCCTTAGTTCCTCTGGGGGCCTTGCACTGCCTCTCGGGCATTACTGTCTCCTTGCATGAAGTGAGAGTTTGCCCTCCGAACACATCCCAGATCTCCCTGCAGTGCTGGTGAAAACCAACAGCGATAGTCAAACCATCTTTCCAATATGTTGTTTGATTTTTATCCCACCCTTCCCTGATTCTCCCTCACTACGCTTTTTCCTCACAATAACCCTGTGAGGTAGGCAATGCTCCCTCTAAGCTGTGGAGTCTTGGGAGCAAAAATTCTGCTTTGTGAGCTACTGGCGTTAAAGTTGGGAGCAAGCGATTTGGATACTGC